TTTTTTATATATTTTTTCTTGTATGATATTGAAGTTTTTAATCTTTGCTGCTCTGCACGGAGGCGTCCTTGGCAGTACACTCATGATTTATATTTTCATGTTCATACTGTGTGTTTTTCTCTTCATCCTCTGATTTTTCTCATTCTTGATTTCTCCTTTTCATCATTTTTTCAAATAATTTGGTTTCATTCTTATGGAACTCTTCTATTTTAATTGTCAAATCTGTGTTAGTGTGTTCATTTTTTTTCCCCATGTCTGAAACTAACAACTTCTCAACTGTCTCGTCTGTTTATACCCAATGATTTTAGATGAATCATGGAGAGATATTCTTAAACATCAGAAACTGAAGAAATTGCCCAAAGGAGCCTTGCGCCGTAGTTTCTATTGTTCTGCATAAAAACTTCTGCTGTAATGTAGTCTTGTTTTGGGTGTAGGGCTCTACTGTAATGGAGGTAATATAAGTGAGAATGCCCTAATGCGATTGGTTCAATAATCAGTACAGTTCAGCAGTGCCGCCCTCTTTGCTTGTGCTATGAAGCGTAAAGTACAGTATGTAGAGACCATAGACAGTACAAAATTAACAGAAATTAGTAAACTTAAAAAAATGTCAGAGATTCATTTGATAATTTGTTTGCAAAAGTTTGTGCCCTTTCACATAATTTAGTGTCTTATAAAGTCTTTTGCAATTTTAAATATTTTGGATGCTTGATTACTCCTAATATAAATCAATTAGAAGGGCCCTTCAACTATTTTTGTTACAACAATTTAACGTATGATTGGATTTATTTCTACATATAGTACGCACGTATTTTTGGAGTAAATTTTCTGTTTTATTTTATCTATCTAAGCACATTTTCCCTTAAATATTTACCCTGACGGCTCAGCCTCAGCCTCAGTTTTGAGTGCTTTTAATGAACTTTTTCAAAATTTTGTCTATGCCAAATTTGTGTGCTCGCTCTGCAGCTCTGCTCCTGCAATTTCATGCGCTTTGAGGGGATGTGCGGAGAGGATGAGTCTAATTTCCACTCTGAAAGTAGACACACTTGGTTTGAGGTTGGGGTCTGAATACATATATTTTTTCACTGGAATGGCATATTGCAATACCCTAGTTAACATGATATAATGGGTATACGTGGGGATAAGCGCCGTCATAAATGATTTCCCCCAAAAAAACTAATTACTAATCTAAATAGGTTTTTGGCATAAGCTCACCACTTCACCGTAATATTTCCACAAGTTATTGCATTTTTTCCTCTCTCTGTAGAATGTTGGACTCTCTACTTCTTATTCTATTTCAATTATCATCTTATTCACTTTCACTGCCAAGGACAAGAATGTTCTTTCAATCACAGTATCTCTTCTAGTTCTTTCACATTGCATTTCTGTACTCATTTCTCTATCGTTCCTTTTATTTACTACTATCACAACTAAATCCTGTACTTTGAAGTATTGCCGGCCGAGCCGCCCTGCCCGCCCGGTTTAACGCCCGCCGCCCTACCTCCTACAGGGACGCCCTCGCCCCGCAAGAAGCGCAACAACTCGACGCCCACGCGGCAGCGCTCGGCCGTGGACGCGGCCGAGAAGAAGCAGATCCTGCAGCAGCTCGTGTCGGGCAGCAGCATGGACGGCGAGCCGCTCCTGCTGGACTCGCTCGGCGACGCCCATCACCACCACAACAACAACAATAACAAGATGTCATCGTCGAGGACCTCGTCCAGGAAGGCGTCGAGGGAGGAGGACGCCGGCACGTGCGAGACGTCCTTCAGCATCGGCATGTCGTCACATGGTGAGTTGCTGTGGACACTTTGTCGTTTTACGTCGTCATTTCAAATGTTTTTTCTTGTATAATGTGACATTTGACGTGGGCGGCAGTCCCCAGGCTCCGCCCACGACCAAGGCAGGTGTGAACGACTTCTCTATTGAGTTCGCACCGTATGGTTTCTGTATCGTATAGAGCAAAGGGCGTGATGACCTCTCTTTCAGCATCGTGCAACAAGACCACCTAAAGGATTTCACATTTCAGCAGTTCTTTATCACTTTTTAAAGGCAATCGTATCCACCCACCACTCTGCTCTTTGCACTGGCTCTTCCGTGGGTACTACGTCTCTTTTTCTCTACTTTCTGAGCCTCACGTCCTCTTCCCCGCGAGGGTGCTCTTCTTATCTCTTCGGCCACCTTTTACCCACTCGAAGAGGAACCCGTGCCCCATTGTAGGACGAAGTCCTCTACGATCTCGAATCCGACAAGTGCTAAAACCACAAACAAATCGGGAAAAACTAAACCCTATCAGAGATGATGATGCACCATGCACTCCAACCCAAAACAAGACGTGAGACAGACGTGTTTTACGACTGTTCGATGTGAAATAAAATTAAGATATCGTGATTTAATAATGATTTACAGTAATACCAGTAATACTAACCCAACTTAAAATGTCTCAAACTAAAATTTAAAATAATCAGTAAACCGTATGATACTGAAGGTATGCAATTTTGTGCCTATCTCAGTAGTTCACTTACAATTTCAAAACAAAAAAAAGCTAAAAAGAAAAAAGAAAAAGTACCACTTCCACGTTTGCAAATAAGGGAAAACAGACGAAGAAATCGAACAGCTACACCTCTGGGTCCTCTCGTCTCGTGGCCAACAGGGTCGGAGCCTCCGCACAAGCTGGAGAAAAAGGTGACGTTCGCGCGCCTGCTGAACAAGGTGTCGGCGGAGATGAGCTCTGGGTCGGAGCGGGGGGAGGCGCCATGGGAGGCGGCTGCGGCCGCCCAGCCCGGCGGTCCCGGGGCCGGCGGGCACGGCGCACAGAACAGCCCGCCGCACTCCACCTCGTCCAACCCGGGCACGGGCACGGGCAGCGACTCTCTGTCTTCCCTCGACGCGAGTGCAGGTCAGTACGGGGCCCTGCAGGCTGCCCTCGAAGGGCGCCCCGAGTGGAGCCCCGTAGGCAAAGCCAAGCCCCTGTATAGCAGCCCCATACCCAACCCCTCTCCCCAGTATTGAGGTCTGCTCCGCGCGCCGACAGACTTTTCTCTCTCTTTTTCTACTCTTTTTTATATATGTGTAATTTACTTCTATTCTCTTGCTCATTATATTATATATCTCTCTCTATCTCGCTTTGGAATCCACCTGCTTATGTGGCGATGAGCGCTGTATCCTTCACGAAACGCTGCCTGTATTTCTCGCACGCGAATTTGTTCTGAATTTGGAATAATCTCTAATCAGAGACTGAGTTCCCGCCCGTAGGATTTGCAAGACTTATGACGGTGACAAAAATTGCAATTATTAAATCCACCGGAGCAGTCGTTTCCGGAAAAGTGACATTTTCTAAATTTCATTAGGTTGATCGATGTTGATGTGCGTCGCGTGTAATCTGCGTTTTCAAAATATGCGAATTTGACCTGAGGCAACTACAATGTCTATTCTTGAATGTAGTTTTTAGTCATAAGGTGTTCGTTATTATAGATTCGCCCTAATCAGCTGAAGGAAAACAGAAAGATTAAATAATAGGCATTGAGCCGAGCCGAGCAACCTTACCTCCAAAGAGAACCCGCTCGTTGTTGTAATTACCTATAATCTGTGATAGATTTCTACTTTCTTAGCCAGTAGTGTATATTTTTCCTGTTATGCAAATGTTTTGTAACCTTCTTATACCACCTTATGTTTAGACTCCTTAAACCACAACATTTTTTATTTCCAATGTTGCTGTGTGTGTTTTATGTTTGTTAGCGCGCGTAAAGCGAGATGACCTTTTAGGGTGCGACAGACTTGCAGTATGACACACACCATGAGGACACACACGGCCCGTGCCGCTCCCGCGAGTCCTCTCTGGGCCGCGGGGCGGGGCCGACCGCGTCTTTGGATAGGGCCGACCATATGTGTCTGTTGGCAGGCGACTCGGTGCTACAGCCCCTGTTGTCCAACTCCAGCCCGGCGAGGGGCGGTGCTCAGGGGCTCGCCGGCTCACGGACGGGCCGCGGGGCGGCGCGCCGGTTCAGGCTCTAAATGAGGTTGTCAACGTTGTAAAACCGAAAGCAAAAACAAAATATTTTTTTAAGAAAAAGAATAAAAAAGTCAAAGGCTCCCGGCACAACAGAATGCATTTGTTTTGCCCTCTGCAAGACACCTTTCTTTTTTTGCCGTCACGATCACTAGAAGTGAGTTGAAGCTGTTGTGCCGGCGGCCAGCTAGATGCGCTGAGCTGCTCGAGCCGCTACTGTTGCTTGTCGTGTCTGAGTGTTGTGTGCAGCCCCGCCATGCCGTACATTGTCGCACTCGATCCGAACGTTGTGAGGCCAGGCACGCCGTCGGCCGCCGTCGGCCGACTAGGGACACACGAGTACCACACCACCATACGTCACCGCGGTACACCGGCACAGCGACTGGTGATGTTCCCCGGTGACCTGCTCGCCGCCGTCTCGGCCGCCGTCAGTTCATTGAACATGAGGCATATACTCACTTAACGAAGTCGGTCTTTTTCTGCCGTAAAAGGGGGTCGCGCCCAAAATTTAAATCTCCCTTAGTTTCTCTTTTAATTAATACACCAAGAAGGACATTTTAAGAAGTCGATGCACTTGAAGTTGTATTGGCCTCAAACTAAAAGACTCAATATTTTTTAAAAACAGAAAGTTTTGATGATAATGTTAATATTACTTGTGAGCGAAACGTCTGCTGATGCGTAGGTAGCGGCGCTTTTTTGTAGCTCGTGCAAGCTACACGGTCATTGGAATACTACTTCAAGTGATTGGCTCTGTTGTCAATGTAAGTCGTAGAGCTGCTGACTCTGACTGGAGATCTGTGTCGTTTCATCTAGATGTTGCATGTGGTTGTTGTTACGTTTGGTGTTGTGATGATACGTAGTGTTTAACTAGTGGTTGGCGTAGACGTCCTCTTGCTGTGGATATACCTGTGCCGTCAGCTTGCCCCGCCATTCCTCGTCATCCAAGAGTGTCATCATCCCATTTAGCGCTCGAGTAGACTCGTCTAGTGTGCAGCATGTTAGTGGAGCGACGCCGCGAGGGTCCCCCGCACAACGGGGCCCTTGGGGCCTGGGGCTGGCTGGCGAATGTTTCATGTTGTTGTTTTTCTTTTTTTGAAATACGTTAAACCTTTCCGTTCTTTAAAGGACTTATTTCTCTCCCCCCCCCCCCTTATATTTGCTTTCCCTTAACTTCCAGCCCACCCTTTTCACTTTTATCGGGCTGGTGATATCGTTTTCTCGATACAGCCACCAGGCAATCAGTTAACTCCAAATTCAATCTCTTTCTTTCTCACTCTAATGCGTCTAAGGCGGTACTGCGTCTGTCCAGCCCATCCCTAGTGTTTGATCTCACGTCTGTTTCGCACGTGGTTCGCACTGTGATGGTAGGACCATAGACGCACTGATCACAACATCAATGTGTCTGGTGAACAACACTATACTCACAACCCCCTTTGATTGCTTCCCTCCGAAGTATACTTTGAAATTTCGGTTGAAAACTCGAGAATAAATCATACGCGGGTCAATCACTTCCCGGCCGTTACTGTGGAGCGGGAAGCAATCAGCATCCAAATAGCAGTAAATTGCAAAGTACGCCAATGCGTATGGCGTCCAGCCGCAGCTGACGCGCCGCTGTCCCCCACAGGCGGGGATGTGGTGGTGAACCGGCGGCCCACGCGGCTGCACAACCTGCTGCGCTACTGCGACCAGGACGCCGAGGACGGCGCGGCCACCTCGGACGACTCGTCGCACCTGACGCCCGCCACCTCCTCCAGCGGCGCGCCCGACTCGCCGCCCCTGCCCCGCTCCGCCACCACCACGCCAACGCCCGGATCCACGCCCGGCTCTTCCACCATAGAGGTAACGCACTATACTTGACCGACTTGACCGCATTGCGTGTTGTCACCGAGGGGTTCTCCCTAGAAAGGACATCAATTTCTTATTTTCTTGATTTTTTCTTATTTTTTTTTGATTTTTCTTATTTTTTCCCTCTGAATTTTCTTGATTTTTCTGATTATTTTTTTTTGTTACGGGCGGGTTGTACACCGATTTCTACGTTTGTCGCGCAGGTGACGGTGTTGGACCCGCTGTCGGCGTGCCAGCAGCGCTCGTGCGGCGCCGTCATCTTGCTGGAGGTGCCGAGCTCCGGCAGCCGCAACCTGTCGCCCATCCGAGAGGTGCCCACGCCGCGCCCCACGCCCCTGCCCACGCCCCTGCCCACGCCTATCCCGTCCCCCATCATGCCCCGCAGCCCCGTCGGCATGGGCCTCCTCGCCCCGGGGCTCACCCCCAACCCCTGCAAGGTATGCATGCACTCCGACCGATCCAAGGGGAAAGCAACAAGTAGTACATTTTCAATGATTTTTTAAATTTTTGTTTGTTTACGGTAAAACTCAATGTTGCTTTTCGCGTTAATTCGATATTTATACTTAACAAAAGTTAAGCAAGAACCTCGTGGTTTCCCCCGTGTCTGTGCACCTCTTTACTCTTTGCCAGGCATGTCGTATCCGAGGGCGCTGACGTCACGAATGTTGTTGCAGGATGCCACCCCCAGCCCCGCCACGAGCCCCATGCTGCTGTCCACCGAGAGCTCGTCGGCCGTGACGACCACGTCGCCCTGCCCGTCGCCGACGCCCAGCCCGTCGCCCTGCAGCCTCAGCCCCTGCGTCGCCCCGTCGCCCAACACCCTGGTCATACCGGAGCTGCGCGTCGAGCAGCCGTCGCCCACTCGGTCGCCGCCGTCGTGGAGTTTCCATCCCGGCTCACCGCCGCCGCAGCGTTCCCTCGGCGGCAGGTCAGTCCTTTTTCACCCCGCCAGGACGCTGAGCCCCAGAGAGCACAGAGCTGACGTTTTCTTTCTACCCGTAAAGGCCTCAGGACGTGGACAGCCACATGCTGCCCTTCATCACCGTCACCTGCAGCACCTCCGAGGCCGACTCGGACGTGGACGTGGGCCACCAGAGCTCGTCGGACGCCGGCATCCCGGGCATGTGCTACCTCTCGCCCTTCTCCATGTGCTCACGGGCGGACCGCATCGCATCGGAGTCCAACCTGTCGTCCTCCGGCTATTCGTCCATGGCCTCTCCGGGGCCGTCGCGTTGCGGCTCCAGCAACCCGCTCTCCATGTCGGCTTCGGAGGTCGAGGTAGGTCCTGCGTCCCGAAGCGCTCTGGTCCCGAGCCTGTGCTAGAGGCCCCGAGAGGCCGGTTCCTTCCTTGTAGTCCCCCGTAGCGCCCGGCCGCCGCATTACAATGCCGCGTTGACGGACAGGTGTTCCAGGCCGAGCCCGAGGAGGGCTGCCCTGGCTCCGGCGCCGTGCTCCCCGGCCTGCCCCGCGCCGGCCTCGGCCTGGGACAGCGCCTCCTGCGGTCGCCGGGCTCGCCGGGGGTGGCGCAGCCTCCGCCAACCAGGAGGGCGTCCGAGGGCACCGCCGTGGACGCAATCTTCTACCCGACGCTGCGCCGGCCCATGCGCGGTCGTTCGGACTCGGAGACGCTGTCGGACGACGCCTTGATGGAGTCGCAGGACGAAGGGTTCGCCACGGACACGCGCCAGAGCCTCGGGACTCTACAGCCGGTAAGAGGCGAGCGTCCCTTCGGCCGCTGGGGGGTCGTCCAGAAAGTACGTCCGTTCCTCTCAGATTCATTCGGGAAATTATGGAAGCTTCGGCGCCTGCGAAACTCAGAGTAGACCAGCCCGCAGTACACGCATGCACTGTAAGGCACGATGTTGCCTACCCAGCAGGGGCTATGAGAGCTTGCCAGTTTATCGTGACTTCATGCGAATGACGGACCTACTTTCTGGATGAACACTTGCCCGTTGAGACTGCCCTGACCTGCAAAGCACCCGCCCTGTCCACCAGGAGGCCGGCGTGGAGGCGCCACCGGTGGCACCCCCGCGGCGCGTGCGACACTGCGGCAGCCTGGACATGGGCATGGTGCCCGTCATGCTGCACACGGCCGCCGAGGCCTCGGGGATGCCGCCGGGCATGACGCGCCTGCTCCTGCCCGCCATCTCCGTCGCCGACCCGGCCGAGGTGGAGACGCTCCTGGGCCCGACGTGCGCGTCACCGACCGCGCCCTCCGACACCACAGTCCTCGGCCCCGCCACCGAGCTGGAGGACGTGTCCATCGACATATCATGTGGCGACCTGGACGTCCCCATGACGTCCCTGCTCGCGGTGAGTTACGCCACCCCACTCCCTGCTGTCCGCGGTGGGTGCGCTTGGGCTAATGTAAGCGACGCTTTGCCCCTGCTTTGCTTGCAGCTGCCCAGCATCGTTGTGGAGGGCGACGCGGGCCGCTCCCTCAGCCCCGTCAGCTCCCGCAGCGAGTCGCCGCTGTCTGACCTGCCCGCCGGCTGCGAACGCTTCTCCCCCGCCTTCTACGGACGCCAGCTGCCCTTCACCGACTCGGACGGGCTCTACGACGCGCCCAGCTCGGCGGGATCCGCTACCGGTGAGGGCTTTCGGGCATTCCTTCCACGACATCAATCTTTGGAAATATAAATAATCGGGAAGTTACACTACCTGGGAATGACTATCTGATTATTTCGCAGTCACTACTACACGCAAGAGCTCCTCGGGTCGGCGCCGGGAGCGGCGCTCCCCGACGGTGCGCTCGGCGGCCCGCAGCCCGGCGCGCAGCCCGCCGCCGCCCAAGCTGCTGCTGGACGTCCCGGAGGGCCACGGCTACGGCCGCGAGCCCCGCGACCGCGACCGGCACAGCTCGCCCAGGAAGCCGTCGCCCAAGCGGCGCGCGCGCAACGCCAAGTCCTCGCAGCCGCAGCGGGTCACCTCGTCCTCGTCGGACGAGAGTCTCAACTCCATCCGGTAGGCGGGGTGCTCCCTGTTTTTACTCGTTCTTTACCTCCACTCTCACTTCCCTCTTGGAGGTGGGAGAACGAGTATTGTGCTTGGTCTGGTGTAATTTAGCGACTCGATTCATCTCGGTAACCACAACACCTACAACTATGCCAGTTGTATCAAACTGTAGGTCTTGGCGGCCTCACCAATCCATAATAGACGTTTTTTTCGGTTTATTACGCAAAATTGAAAGAAATTTCAGAAATAAGGTCGAAAAAATCGCCGGTCGAGCGTGCGTTTCGGATGGTTTTTCTACACGGACAAATATCTTAATAGAGATAAGTTTTACCTGAAAAAATTTGGCTAAACAACTAAAAATAGGCTAGCCGTTAATGTTTCAACTTAAAACAATCATATTATAACCTTTTTTGGTTCTCATAATGATTAAAACCTATCTCAAATGAAATTCTTTTAACACGAAAAAAAACAATCAAGCGCATGCGCGAACAGCGCCATCTATTGATAAAAGCTAAAACTGCGTCGGCGCGAAAAGTTTTGAAGAGCGGTCATTAACAACAATGATCTTTCTGTTTTCATTTCATAATCACACCAGACCAAACTTGGGTAAAGAACGAGGTTTCTCCTAATGTATCAAACATGTTTGATGCCCTGATGCTCTTCTTGTTTTCTTTCTTAACTCACCGGCGTTCTCCCGTATCCCGTTATCAAAGCACGACGTCGTGAGCGATTTTTTGTTTTTTGGTCAACATTGTGTTTGCTGGTGGTTTCAGAGAGGTGTCCCAAAGGCCCACCTCGCCTGCCGCCCCCGAACGTCTCTCGTGGTCGAGGACACCAGAGCCGTGCAGTCATCCTTCGACGGAGGCGTCTGGCGAGGAGACCGGAGAGGTGGGTCTAATGTCTTAGCTTCGTCAACGACAAAGAAAATGAATTTACATCGTGTGGAACATTTTGTGGAATTTACGAAATCAGCTCTTCGGTCCAAGCGATCGGATAAGCATGCGAGACTTGCGTGGTCTCGGATTGGCCCCTTTTGTACACAATACTGACGTGCGGCTTGCCCCTAGTCGTCTGCGGTGGCCGTGGCCGAGGCCGTGGCCCTCCAGGTGTGCGGCTGAGCCGGGCGCCTCGACGTCTGGGGTTGCATGACGGCGTTCCCGGGGTGTCAGGGCGAGCCCAGGGTACAATAACGTAACTAGCAGGGTAGCTCTCAGTAAAAGACCATAACGCGGACCAAAATCCATCTCCATTTAAAAAAATACACGTTCCCTGCCCAAGGACCTCCATGCTACGCTATCTATCCCCCGTAGGTTAGTTGCGCCCATCAGATTTCCTTTGTACCAAGCTACAGTATGAATTTGGTATGAGCAGATTTCAAATGAGCAAGTCTAACATCCTGCCACTAGTAAACTTTATTACATTTGATTAAACCGAGGATTGAACTTTTAGCATTCACACTATATTGTTGTTCTTTACTCGTGTTCATGCCTCGATTTTCAGGACGCCAAGGCGCACTGCCTGCGCGGAAAGCCGGCCTGGGAGGACCCCATCACCAGCCCGCTGAGCTCCAAGCCGAACCGGAAGATTAGTCGGCTTAAAACAATCGGTCACCAGATTAGGTGCGTGAAAACTAGTCTCCGCGCTGGACGGTGGCTGGTGTAGGGGTTTGAACTTTCCAAAAACGAACACTCGGGAAAATTTTTGGGAGAAAAACCCCTGGATGTACCATTTTTTTTATAACATTTCTTAAATATTTTTAGTTTTTCTGGAAATCTTTTCAATTTTTTTCGAGAAAATTTGGGCTTCTATAGCCGGAGCGCCTGAGAACTGCCGGGTAGGCAACCCACACCCAGCCACGCACCTGCGTGTTGCGGGTCTGCCTATCCGGAGTTCCACAGGCGCTCCGCCTGCGCCCCGTCCCCGCTCACACGGATTCTGCCGCCAGGTTCCTCCGTAGGCTGGAGCAGAGCCTCTCGAAGCGGCGGCAACGCCTCACGGGCTCCACCAGCCCCTGCGACAGCCAGGACTCGGGCGAGGAGGGCGGCGTGACGGCGCCGCTGCTGCCGCCCGCCGCCTCGCTGCCCGTCATCACCGCCGCAGCCGGCCCGGGCGCCACCACCCCTACCTCCAGCGGCCCGCGCGCGCGCCACCACCGCCTGCGCAAGCAGGTGGGCGAGCCGCTGCTCGCGCCCAGGGACCGCATGACCAGGAGCGTCACCATCGTGCCCACGGCGGGCGCCAACGCGGCCGAGAGCGCCGAGCACCAGGCCTGCCGCACCAAGCCCAGGCACACCGACTAGAGGCTGGCCCTAGCAATAATTTCGACCGGCTTTGTCGGTTGCGGTGGTTCACTGTGATGTATTATCGTTTTTTGCTGTCGCTTCGGTTCATTTTATGTAGCGCACAATTAAATATGGGGAGTGACGATGCAAGAAATATGTGTGTGGGGGCTGTGTGAACTGACAATGAACAGGATGTGGGGGGGTTTGTTCACATATCCAACAAGTTTATGGTTAGTGAGTTATATCAAGGAACTGGATCTGCAGTTTCTTAACAAAATAGAAACTGCTCAAATAAAAATTCAGTTGAAGCAGTTAACCATTGTGACAGCTGATCATGTGATTCTATTGAAGTGCAGAACCTAATTTATATGCACTTACTGAATTTTGCACTTCTCAATGGTCCTTTTCTCATATGTTATTTTTTCTCAGTTTACAGAAAGGGACACACATGTAATTTGTAATTGCCTATCTATTTAACTGTGTAGTTCATCGATCTTCTTATATTGAATGACTATTTCATGAGTACCAAGTCTACCGTGTGACATATGCTTTTACATATTTTCTTATCATGTTTATGTAGTCTTTAGTATAATTTAAGATTGGGTTGTGATAGTTACAAGTTGAACTGTAAAATTATTTTGCCATAGCTGTTTGAGGATGAGTGGACTTTCATGGGGAATGATGTTTCATATAAGTGTCTTACAATCACATAATGGAGAACATTTTTAACTTTCTCTCAAGAATGTATTTGTCAACAAACAGGAGAGCTGGCTTCTTTCCCTCTCTGAAGCCCAATATAAAGCTCAATTACGGTCTTGTATTTGCTCATGACTTCCATCTTGTTGAGAGGTATGATTCAAAGGTGTGTCTATTTAATTGTTTTGAATATTTTTACATTGTTATGTACAGATTACAGTAACAACTTAGATATTGCAGTCTTGTAAATTGTAAGCTATTGTTTTGCTGTTTTTGTATCTTGGTGTTATATGGGAACTATCAGCTGTAGATAAAACTTTCATTTCTGTTTTAGTATTGTGAGTTTTCTGTAAATAATTATTCTTTCATAACGCTCTTCATAAGCACATTTTGGTGATAAAATGAGGATTTTTGTGTTGAGATTTTTCTGCGTTCTTCTGTGCAGTATGCGCAACCCTCCTTATGCCAGTGTCTTGTTGTCAATCTGTAGTTGAGGAATTGTTTGAGTCCAACCTCAAAGTAAAGGAACAGCTGTGCATCTTTAGTTAAAACTATTATCAAGACATAATGGTACAAAAAGTCATTTAGATGCTGTGATTCTTGTCTGTATGCAATTGACCTTATTTATTTTAAAAAATTAACTCTTCTTGCTTACTTAATAAGACTTCCAAGACTTAAAAACGAACAACCTATTCCATAATCTATTGGCAGGCTGCCAGAAAATCATTAATCCGACAAGATTAAGTTGTATATGATGTAAAAGATATTTTCACGGGCTCATGGGGATATCATGGGGATATCTTTATTGATGATACATTATGGACAACCAGGCCTGTATGTACCCCTCTCCCTCTTTTTGGTGAAGCACTATCTCGCGTTTTCATTTTTATTTAATTTTTCACAATTTGCACTTGACTTAATATGTTCACCTTCAGGATCGTTCAGAAAGTCTGTCTTTCTCAGATTCAGTCGGCCAAATTAACGACGCTCGGCGCCTGCCAGACTGGGGGTACGCCAGCCCGCAGTGCACGCATACTGCAGGCAGGATGTTGCCTACCCATCAGGCGCTATGAGGGCTTGCGTAGGCTGCACCTGGCAGTTTCGTAACGGTGAATGACGGACGTATTTTCTGGATGATTCCTTCTTGCTACTAGGAGGAGAGAAAATGCACCTCATGCAAGTAAGCTAGGCAATTAAAACTATTGGAAGTAAGTTTAAAATTTGTTGGATTTTTTTTTTTCATTACATAGAAGTTTATTAAATAACCTGCCTTCAGACATTATTATAAAAAATACTCATTAATGCCTATGCAAGTTAATTTTATACAGGAAGTTGACAAAAAGAAAACAGGAGGCCTAATTCTTTTAATTAACATAAATGTTCTACTTAAATTGATGAAGAGTATTTGTAAATTGAATAATTTTAAACACATTGTAAATTATGTGAACTTGCATCATAAATGTTAAAATGCACAGGTGATTTCTATTATGAGGGTAATGCATGGAAGACATTTGTGAGATGAGTTTTGGAAAGGGTGCTCTCTTCAGATTATATACTCTGGACTGTGATACTAATAAAGCACAACTCAAGTAAAATGTAGAAGGAGATCACTCCTGTAACACTTTATGAAGGCGTACAGTTGCACTCTTGAACCCACTTGTTGCCTTCTCTAAATAATATTATAAAATTGAAGCAATAATTGTTCCACAGCAAGTAATATTGATGTTATTTAGGCTCTGTTTCATTTTCTGTACTGGGAGACTTTTTAAAGGTGGAGTCGTCTACTGGTTTTAATTATATTGCTGCAATAATAGAAAGACATGAATAGGAAATAATGTTTGTAATTGTTAGAGATGTAAGTTAGATCATCTTTTAACTATTTAATTGTGATCTTTAAAATTCCTGGTGATTGTTGGAAGAAGAAACATAGACATCAAGTTGTTTGATCAGTACGGAGTTTTCTATCGATTTTTCATCATACTTGAGTTTCAAAATAATGTGTCCTTAATATGCATGCCTTTGCAAAGGCAAAAGATTTTTTTTTTTTAAGTAGCCAGTTCTCTCCATTTAGATCAAACAAATTTAGGATTTCTACAGATTCTTTTTCCTACAAGTACTGTGTGGAACTGACAGGGAACTAATGAATTGTTTTATCTGGTTATGGAGAGCAATACAAAGAGAAAAGGGGTTTTACCTATTGTGCCTCAGAGGCCAAAACTAAGATTCAATTCCAGAATGGTTACCAAGTTCAATTTTAGGGACTTAGGTAATTCACCTTTAAGGATATGTTTTGTAATTGTTGGTCATCTAATCTTACAGTGTCCAGTGTCCGACATACTTATGCATCTGAGGCTACCTCTTTAAGATTGGTCGAACGAACGAACGATTGAACGGTGGGACAAGTGTAAATGAGCCTATTAAAGCTTTCAAATTTACTGCAATCTATGAAATGACATATTTTAAAGAAGGGCAAATTATTAACGGGATTTAATATCTACCCCCCCCCCTCAATATTGACACTAAATGAGTTGGGAAAACAGTCTCTGAATTCACGCGTCTAAACACCGAGAGAATGTCTCTGCACAGTGCACACAAGTGTCAGAATTTGTAGTCGAAAGCAATTCCGTCACTTCCTCCATCCTCAAAATGTCACTTAACATAAATTGCAGCGAATGTTACAGCTTTCATAACTTAATTTACCCGCGTCCGGCCGTTTGATCGTCCGTTCGTTCGATCGACCGCTCTTAAACCTCTCTGTCTAGACAAGCACCGGTTGAATACTGGTTACTGTGTCTACCATGTCATTTTATACTACCGCTGTGTTGAGAGACAAAATATTACAATATAATTCTTTAAGTGTCCAAGTTAAGAAAAATGTATTAAGAAGAAGGGAGCAAAAAAGTGTGAAGTATGTGTATGCCAAACGTTGCACAAGGCATCTACAAAAACTAATTGAACACACTCTTATTCACTGTTGAGACTTGATTAACCATAGAAGATTACAAAACAATTCTTGCTGGTGTGTGAAATGAATATTCCATAATGATGGGTCTAGTGTGAGACCACTGACTGCGTCTTTTCATTAACTTGCACCAAACCTTTGTGAGGAGCCTAAATATTTCTTTTGTTGCGTTTTTCTCACTTTTTAAGTAAAGTTGTTGAGGGAACAAAATAAAAAGATAATTTTAAAAAAATTATATCCCTGGCACTCTTTATTTCACTTGACTAATTGATCTAAACCGAATCGACTGTAGGTGATGGCTCATCGCCCAAGACGGACAACACGCCGCAAGGTGAGCAAGACTGAAACCCACTTTCAGAGAAGTAAACAGCGCTAAGAACTAAACGAAAGATATCAATGCCTCTCCGAAGCTCTCGCCTTGTCCAAGCGGTCGGAGGGACAGGGGGCGGCGGGGGCCCGAACAAAAAAGGCTGCCAATATTTTGGCAAGCTAGGCGACCACGGCGTTAACAGTAGTAAAGGGACTAACGCGGATACAAGTGGTGGATGTTAGCCTGAGCGCAGAAACACGCCACCTCGTTGATCACGCTAGCAACCCCCCTGGCGGGTAACGAAGATTACCCCCCCCCCCCCCGCCCCTCTCTCTCCGTCACGCAGAGCACAATGCCATGCTCCCTTCTCACTTTGTGTAGTCCCTGGACCCTTCTGTGCCGTACGGCTTGTTCGGCTTACTTACGTGTAATTTTGACAACCTACGTTACGACGCTTTTCTGCGGATCTGGTTTTACGTTGTTTTTTTATAACTAAGTTGTATGGCGATGGCAGTTTTAAGTACTACATGTGGACTTCAAATGGAAGAAAACTATCTAACTACGCGCTATCGGTATTTTTCTGATTGTGAGTGAGTGTGACTGAATTCGATTGCATCGAGCGAGGCCACACATAACGTAACTGTCTCTCTTGCCTCTTCAGGTATTGCGCTGCAGACGCTCTTATCACAGAGCTCTGGTTCTAGAAGCAATCTTTTTCTGATGGGGCAAAAAACACGTAGTCTCCATTGAATTTTTTTTTTTTTTTATAGAAAAGACGTGTAAAAATGAAAGTAGTGGTTGTTTGGGTCTGGTGGGAAAGAGGAACTGCCTCGGGCTGGTAGACCTAAACAGTGGGGTAGCTGGCCATCGTGGCGATTCCGCAGTTGTTGTTCTTGTTGCGGGCCATCTTGATGTACCCGCCTTCACCCCAGGAGTCACCCCAGGAGTTCTTGACGAGCCAGAAGTCCTTGTTGGGCCAGTCGCTGCCGTAGCCGACGGCCAGCACGCCGTGGTCCAGGCTGTCCGATGAGCAGGCGGGCTCCTGGTAGATGCCTGCAACACGAAATGATCGTCATAACCCGCTCATGCTGTAGCGCGCGAAATGAGGCGTTTGCTGGTCCAGCAATTTTTGTAACGAGAACAGAGTATGGCGTTGGAACTTACCGCTAGCGTACATCTGGAAGCTCCAGTGGCTGGCGTCGATCGCTACTGATACTGGTCCAACCTTCTCGACTGCGTCGCGGAGATCGTTCTCGGTTGGGTTTACGTCAGTGTATCCGGTGTTAACTCCAACACTGTTGGCGGACTTGTAAAGACAGCGACCGTCCTGTGATACAACAACAAAACAACAAAAAATCGTGAAAACTCGTACAGTATATACTGTAAAGCGCTCTTGAGAGGGCGGGTATCTTCGTCAGAGAGGTTTGGATTTGACAGTTGGTAAGTTACGGGGAGAGTATTCTTGTTTGTCTGCGAGACAGCTGGGGTCGGCCAGGGTCCAGAGTTAGTTCTCAACCGGGCACCCGAGCGGACCCGGGACGCTTCGGGTCTTGGTAGCGTAGGGAGGGCTCGGAAAGTCACGGGTAAAATAACGGTGTTCTTGCATAAAAGATTTGTAAAATATATACCTGTGCAGTGTAAGGATAGGTCTCCTCTGAGTCGATGCCGCCGTTGGCCTTCACGTACTCAAAAGCCGAGTCCATCACACCTCCGTTGCAGCCCTCGTTGCCGTACTTCGAAGAGCAGTCGACGAGGTTCTGCTCGCTGAGCGAGACCAGCTTGCCAGTCTTCTTGAAGAGTTGACCCTCGAGTGAGCCGGTCTGTAAAGCAAAAGGGTAGTTAGCGGGCGGCACTTTTCAGTGCGTAGAGCACAGGCAAGGCAAGGAAAGAAAGTTGTTTTAACTTACAGCGGAGAAAGACCAGCAGGAGCCGCACTGACCCTGGTCCTTGATAGGAGTCACGAGGCCTTTGGTTCTCCAATCCACTTTCCTACTGAAGGGCTTGGAGTCGTTGGAGGCTCTGTGAATGCTACCACTTCGCCTTTTTAAATCCATGCGGAAGCCGTTTAATTTTTCGGTTACTTCGTGGGTGTGCTACAATAAACCATGAGCGCATGATAAATTTTCGAAAGGAACCTCTATGACTTAGCAAACTACTACAATTTTCTTTAAACGACATGACTGTCGAACACTTTTCTGTGCATGACACAATAGTCACACACTTTTTTGTGAGTAACATTTTGTAAAGCACTTCTAGGTGTTCAAATGTCACACACTTCTATTTGGCAATTAGTAATGACAGCACTTACCATATCAGCAAATTGGTTGTAGCCGACCTTAAAGCTGACCTTGCCGTAAGCGTGGAGTTCATTGTGCTTCGCAATCCTTACGGCATTCTCATTGAATATTTTAGCTCGGAAGGCATCTTCGATCGGGTTAGGATACCTCTTGTGATGCATAGCCTAGTATAGCAGATTGAAATTAGCAGCGGTATGTGCATATATGTGCATAAAATCCTTCGATAATTCTATATTTAAATACCTTAAAGTCTTCCCAGTGGACCCTAGACTCATCCTGAAAGCCAGCGACAGCGGCCACAGCGCAGACGAGGATTACGAGAGAATTCATATTGCCTGAAAACTGAACAAGAGCAAATAATAAACTAAACTGTCTGGGAAAGGCACACGATGAAGGGACCATTGGCCCCCTCGTAGTAACCCAGCTGTACCTACCAGGGACAGCGGTCGTCGACTACTATCAAATTGTAGGACTGCCAGCGATTATATACTGTCGCCCTCCTCTCCCTCACTGTCTGACTGTCTGCACCTGTCGTAGTAAGGCACACCCACTCTTGTCCGTTCCTTGCCCTTAGCTTTTTTTAAATGTTTTGCGACAGGTCCACACTCAAGTGCCCGCCGTCTCGGTACAGGATGAGTTCACATCTATTTAGTCTCTTTAAGAAAAACACTTACGTTCCTAATTCTTGATGAATCTCCGTACCTAGGTTGCTGGGCAAAATTAGGAGAACGTCAAACAAAAAAATAAATAAAATAATTTCGTGATTCAGTACGGAAACACCACGGAAAAACCCCGTGTTTTTTCTGTTGTTGTCTAGAGTGACCACAGAATGCTGTGAAAAATAGTTGTAGGCTTTACGGGAAAATTTTCCTCGAATAAGGGTGTCTTAAAATTACAAGTCAAAATCGTAAAATGACAAGCACTATCTATCGGCTTTGAATTCATTGACGAGCAAGATTGGGCTGTCATAAATTTACAACATATACGTTAAATTTTCGAGGGTATTTTACATAGTGGTTTCCGTGATGTGTCCCTGCCCTGGTAGCAGAACTGCGTCATGACTGCAGTATACGTCCATATAAAATGCGAATTTTAGGCATCTTAGGCACATTACACTGATAAACTAAGTGTTCAACTGCTCAACACTTACAAGTGTGCAACTGCAAGTTAAATACTTGCAAGTGTGCAACTCCGTAGTCATACACTTGCAAGTGTTACACTCGGTAGATGTGCACTTGCAAGTGTGCAACTCCTCGGTTGCACACTTCCTTAGATTGGGCGCTTACTGTGTA